TGTCTACATGCCACACAATTACACCCATTACACATATAGGTCTTTAAAATGTGTATTCTATATGTTGATAGTTTTAAAGATGAAATAAATATTTATAAAGTGAATACAAAGAAATTAATTAAGACAAGAAAAATGGCTGGCAAGTAAATAAAAATAATCATATATAAGGGAGGTAATTCTGCTGACAAGAGTTACGCTCTGTCTTATTTTATTATGTGGTCGGTAGCTGTGGGGCTTAAAAAAACTGTTGATATTGTGGTGACACTGACAGAGCTAAAACAAATTAGATTTTCTTACATCTTACTCGAGCACATACTAGTTCTATGAAAATACAAATGTTGTCTAGGTAAGTAAAGAGGATCAGCCTGTCTATTGAGGAGAAGAGAATGTTTCAATAAAGCTTTCGTCTAACTGGAGTTCATCCTATGTCTGTGCTAGTTATGTATGTACTTGTATGTCTGTACCTCAAATATTATGTACACGTTATGTCTATTCTTGATAACTATTTCTTTATACGTTGTGTATGTATTTGATATATCTATACATGCTATATCTATACGCGATATATCTATACATGATATATTTGTGCATCATATATCTGTGCATGATATATCTGTGCATGACATATCTATACATGATATATCTATACATGATATATCTGTGCATGATATATCTATACATGATATATCTATACATGATATATCTGTGTATCAGTATCATATATCTGTACACGATATATCTATACATGTTATATCTATACATCATATATCTATACATCATATATCTATACATGATATATCTATACATGATATATCTATACATGATATATCTATAAATGATATATCTGTGCATGATATATCTATACATGATATATCTGTAAATGATTTGTCTATAGCCTACATGACGTGTTATATAATGACATATACGGTATGTCTGATTGTAATGTCTCCTTTATACTCTTCCTGTCATCCATATTGCTCTAAAAAATAAAACTTCAACTTTTTCAGCCAAAGCTATAAATCTCGTAACCCCCCCCCCCCCCCAACACACGAACATGTCTACAGTGTAGGACTTCCTTAATCTTCCAAGGCCATCAAATTACTAACCTGATTAATTTTTTAACTTTCAGGTTTGAAAAAAGTAAATTAGACGTTTTGTATTATCTATAAATGAACGATTAACAATGAATGAAAGTATATGACAGAAAAGTTGTTAATCTGTACCAATCCTCACAAACCGATGATGAAAATGATGATTAAAGCGAACAAAACGCAAGGCAAACAGACGCTGCAAGTTACATGTCTAAGTCGGACGTGTAAATTATACGCCTGGGGCCATTGTATAAAAATACAAAGAAAAATGGATTAACTAGGGCATGTTTACTAAGCTAACGTAATATAAATTCTATAGCAGCGGTTTCTATTTTTGATGGGATTGTCGTTGAGTTAAATGTCCAGAGTACAATTAAAATCTTTTATGACGTGATGTTAGAGCGTCCTTTGTGAGGAAATCGATAGAATTTATTGTTGGGGATGTGGGAAATATTTAATGCACCGGGTTGATGAGCTACAGCTGGTGGGAGAATGGCGACTGGGCGAACAAATGGGCGGCTTTATGGGAGGGAGATAAAGGTAAGACGTGAGTTGGAGGTGAATAAGTCAATTGCTGGTATAGCAGTCAATCTCTAATGATTAATTAATCTCTTAATCAACAGTCTTAATTAAACGATTTTGCTGAATTAGTTTCGTTAATCCCAAAGCAGATTTAGTCGATTAGATAAAACAAAAGGTTGCTCAATGCGTAACTTTAATCCCTAATTGTGAGTTTAATGCCTTCCAAATGCTAACCTAGTCATTAAATGAAATAATGAAATAAATTCTGATCTTAATGTTTGCTTAACATCCACCTTTATATTCACTTTAATGCCCACCTTAATGCCCACCTTAATGCCCACTTTAATGCCCACTTTAATGCCCACCTTAATAGTTTAACAGCAAAAACCGTCACGGATGACGTCACTCAAGTCACTTCCTTACCCCCCCCCCCCCCCCCCCCCCCCCCCATTTTTCAACTAACCGGTAAGTTAGCCCATATAATCACCTCGCACCCACCCCCTAGAATCTAACAGCAGTGTTTCTTTCAGACTTTTTTCCCGGGGGGCACTTGAAAAGTCTCAAATCTCAGAGTCAACCCGCCCTTCCATTGTATTCCCCCCCCCCCCCCCCCCCCATTGTGCTAGATCCCGACACAACACAACTCAGGTTGAAATCACCCACAAAAAACCCAGTCAAAGGTCACGTTAAATCAAGCGAATGTTCTCTATTGCCTATAAACGTCGAACACACGGCATACGGCTGGTGTAGTGGTGTCAGGCAGGACATGTTGATGTGGTTCGTGGAGTGTAGGGAGTTCAGTGCTGGAACTAGAATCTGTTGATGTGGTTCGTGGAGTGTAGGGAGTTCAGTGCTGGAACTAGAGTCTATCTGTCACATGCTGATACAGGCACCGTCCTACAGGCGATACAGGACTGTCCTACAGGAGATACAGGACTGTCCTACAGGAAATACAGGACTGTCCTACAGGCTGATACAGGACTGTCCTACAGGCTAATACAGGACTGTCCTACAGCTGATACAGGACTGCCCTACAGCTGATACAGGACTGTCCTACAGCTCATATAGGACTGTCCTACAGCTGATACAGGCACCGTCCTACAGGAAATACAGGACTGTCCTAGAGCTGATACAAGGACTGTCCTAGAGCTGATACAGGACTGTCCTATAGTTGATACAAGGACTGTCCTATAGCTAATATAGGAATGTCCTATATCTGATACAGCTAATACAAAGACTGTCCTACAGCTGATAGAGGACTGTCCTAAGGATTATACAAGGACTGTACTATAGTTGATTCAGGCACTGTCCTAGAGCCAATTGCTTTATGACCACTTTGCTATTGATTTTGATCGTTATGATCCAATTTATGGTGCTGTTTGAAGGGGCGACAACTTTGTGCTGTGTGGGTAACTGAAGGGGTGCATTGGCGGGTTGAGTGTACGGGTTGGACGGGTTTAGGTGTGGACCAGGTGGGTCAGTGTGGACCAGGTGGGTCAGTGTGGACCAGGTGGGTCAGTGTGGACCAGGTGGGTCAGTGTGGACCAGGTGGGTCAGTGTGGACCAGGTGGGTCAGTGTGAACCAGGTGGGTCAGTGTGGACCAGGTGGGTCAGTGTGGACCAGGTGGGTCAGTGTGAACCAGGTGGGTCAGTGTGGACCAGGTGGGTCAGTGTGGACCAGGTGGGTCAGTGTGGACCAGGTGGGTCAGTGTGGACCAGGTGGGTCAGTGTGGATTAGGTGGGTCAGTGTGGACCAGGTGGGTCAGTGTGGGTCAGTGTGGACCAGGTGGGTCAGTGTGGACCAGGTGGGTCAGTGTGGACCAGGTGGGTCAGTGTGGACCAGGTGGGCAGTGTGGACCAGGTGGGTCAGTGTGGACCAGGTGGGTCAGTGTGGACCAGGTGGGTCAGTGTGGACCAGGTGGGTCAGTGTGGGTCAGTGTGGACCAGGTGGGTCAGTGTGGACCAGGTGGGTCAGTGTGGACCAGGTGGGTCAGTGTGGACCAGGTGGGTCAGTGTGGACCAGGTGGGTCAGTGTGGACCAGGTGGGTGGGTCAGTGTGGACCAGGTGGGTCAGTGTGGATTAGGTGGGTCAGTGTGGACCAGGTGGGTCAGTGTGGACCAGGTGGGTCAGTGTGGATTAGGTGGGTCAGTGTGGACCAGGTGGGTCAGTGTGGATTAGGTGGGTCAGTGTGGACCAGGTGGGTCAGTGTGGACCAGGTGGGTCAGTGTGGATTAGGTGGGTCAGTGTGGACCAGGTGGGTCAGTGTGGACCAGGTGGGTCAGTGTGGACCAGGTGGGTCAGTGTGGACCAGGTGGGTCAGTGTGGACCAGGTGGGTCAGTGTGGATTAGGTGGGTCAGTGTGGACCAGGTGGGTCAGTGTGGATTAGGTGGGTCAGTGTGGACCAGGTGGGTCAGTGTGGATTAGGTGGGTCAGTGTGGACCAGGTGGGTCAGTGTGGGTCAGTGTGGACCAGGTGGGTCAGTGTGGACCAGGTGGGTGGGTCAGTGTGGACCAGGTGGGTCAGTGTGGATTAGGTGGGTCAGTGTGGACCAGGTGGGTCAGTGTGGATTAGGTGGGTCAATGTGGACCAGGTGGGTCAGTGTGGGTCAGTGTGGGTCAGTGTGGACCAGGTGGGTCAGTGTGGGCCAGGTGGGTCAGTGTGGACCAGGTGGGTCAGTGTGGACCAGGTGGGTCAGTGTGGATTAGGTGGGTCAGTGTGGACCAGGTGGGTCAGTGTGGATTAGGTGGGTCAGTGTGGACCAGGTGGGTCAGTGTGGGTCAGTGTGGACCAGGTGGGTCAGTGTGGACCAGGTGGGTGGGTCAGTGTGGACCAGGTGGGTCAGTGTGGATTAGGTGGGTCAGTGTGGACCAGGTGGGTCAGTGTGGATTAGGTGGGTCAATGTGGACCAGGTGGGTCAGTGTGGGTCAGTGTGGGTCAGTGTGGACCAGGTGGGTCAGTGTGGGCCAGGTGGGTCAGTGTGGACCAGGTGGGTCAGTGTGGACCAGGTGGGTCAGTGTGGATTAGGTGGGTCAGTGTGGACCAGGTGGGTCAGTGTGGATTAGGTGGGTCAGTGTGGACCAGGTGGGTCAGTGTGGGTCAGTGTGGGTCAGTGTGGACCAGGTGGGTCAGTGTGGGCCAGGTGGGTCAGTGTGGACCAGGTGGGTCAGTGTGGGTCAGTGTGGGTCAGTGTGGACCAGGTGGGTCAGTGTGGGCCAGGTGGGTCAGTGTGGACCATGTGGGTCAGTGTGGACCAGGTGTGTGGGCCAGTGTTGTCCTGGTATATCGGGGTAGTGCGGTACAGCGCGGGTAGAAGATAACAAGTCAACAGTGTCAGCCCCGTACACACTGGGTAGCCCGCCAACACACGCGAGCGGGTGACAGAACAGGTCGCGTCACACGGCCCATTGGCTGGGTGTATTGTGTCTCTACCTCCAGCTATGCCGGGAGTCCCCGCGTTATTTACACCTGGAGCGTACACAGCTAGCAAGAAATGCGCGTCTCTTCTTTCAAGTAAGTCACAAACACTTGGCCTGGGATCAATTTCATTAGCCGTACCCAGTGTCCCGTACTTAGTACTTTTAACATGCCATGATAGATCCCGACTAATTGTAGGGTACGGCTAATATAATCTTTATTTACTACGTTACTATGTACCAATATAAGTTAGGTTTTTAGTCAGTTCAACCTAATAACACTTGAACGTCAGCCTTACTCTAAGTTTAGTAGTAATACGTCACTTATAGTCTAATCTTAATAATCCGTTGAAAAGTAGGCCTAAATCTGTTACTGTTTACTATTTTGGTGTTGCGACCTACTGATTAACGTGTTTGACTAATCCGTTAAAGCCAATGAGAAATTTTTGAGGAATAAAAGGTTAGAAAAGTTTAGAGCTGTAGTTAAAAGTTCCTGCCTGTGTGACACACTGGTTGGTTGTTAGACACACTGGTTGGTTGTTAGACACACTGGTTGGTTGTTAGACACACTGATTTGTTGTTAGACACACTGGTTGGTTGTTAGACACACTGGTTGTTAGACACACTTGTTGGTTGTTAGACACACTGGTTGGTTGTTAGACACACTGGTTGGTTGTTAGACACACTGATTTGTTGTTAGACACACGGGTTGGTTGTTAGACACACTGGTTGTTAGACACACTAGTTAGTTGTTAGGCAAACTAGTTGGTTGTTAGACACACTGGTTGGTAGTTAGACACACTGGCTGGTAGTTAGACAAACTGGTTGGTTGTTAGACAAACTGGTTGGTTGTTAGACAAACTGGTTGGTTGTTAGACACACTGGTTGGTTGTTAGACACACTGGTTGTTAGACACACTGGTGGGTTGTTAGACACACACTGGTTGGTTGTTAGACACACTGGTTGGTTGTTAGACACACTAGTTGGTTGTAAGACACACTGGTTGTTAGACACACTGGTTGTTAGACACACTGGTTGTTTGTTAGACACTATGGTTGTTAGACACTATGGTTATTAGACACACTGGTTGTTAGACACACTGGTTGGTTGTTAGACACACTGGTTGGTTGTTAGACACTATGGTTGTTAGACACACTGGTTGGTTGTTAGACACGCTGGTTGATTGTTAGATACGCTGGTTGGTTTTTAGACACACTAGTTGGTTGTTAGACACGCTGGTTGGTTGTTAGACACACTGGTTGGTTGTTAGACACACTGGTTGGTTGTTAGACACACTGGTTGGTTGTTAGACACACTGGTTGTTAGACAAACTGGTTGGTTGTTAGACACTATGGTTGTTACACACACTGGTTGTTAGACACACTGGTTGTTAGACACACTGGTTGGTTGTTAGACACACTGGTTGGTTGTTAGACACACTGTTTGTTTGTTAGACACACTGATTGGTTGTTAGACACACTGGTTGTTAGACACAATGGTTGTTAAACACACTGGTTGGTTGTTAGTCACACTGGTTGATTGTTAGACACACTGGTTGGTTGTTAGACACACTAGTTGTTAGACAAACTGGTTGGTTGTTAGACACTATGGTTGTTAGACCCACTGGTTGTTAGACACACTGGTTGGTTGTTAGACACACTGTCTGGGTGAACGTCTGTGAGTCCACAATGTGTCGGTCCACGGTGTGTCAGACCATTGTGTCCTGACCTATAGGACACTGACCCCTGCTATTGTCGTGTCCGTGTCCTGGACATGGTTTCACCAGAATGGAGTTTTCTAGAACATCTACTTTTAGGTCAGGGGGCGGGGCTTAGTTGTGAGTAAGGTGTGTGTCAAGGGGCGGGGGCTTAGTTGTGCGTAAGGCGTGTGTCGGGTCAAGGGGCGGGGCTTAGTTTTGTGTGAGGTGTGTGTCGGGTAAAGGGGCGGGGCTTAGTTGTGAGTAAGGTGTGTGTCAAGGGGCGGGGGCTTAGTTGTGCGTGAGGTGTGTGTCGGGTCAAGGGGCGGGGCTTAGTTGTGAGTGAGGCGTGTGTCGGGTATAGGGGCGGGTATGATATTAAAGTTATCTTGATCACATGCAGTTTTTATTTCTATGAAAAACAAAACAGCATCCACAGATTTCTTTGTATCCGTAAAAACAAAACCACGTCAAGATTAGATGTTGTTTCCTGATATGGCTTTCTGTGTTTACGTTTCACATGAACCCGGAAGTAATACTGATACCTTTGATTTGTGACGCTCACCTTTCCAAACTTATCACCTGTGTTCAAAGCTTTTTCTTTACGCCACTCTATTTGTGATTGTGATTTGTAACTCTACACGACTGACTTCATTTAACTTTAATGAGGTTTTCTTATTTTTTATCATTCCTATATCTCCGATGACAATGTAACGATTTCTCAATTTCAAACTCGTGAGATATAAAACAAGTCATTCCCCATCAACCTGAACGAAGTATACAAATATTCAATTAAACTACTAGAAAAAAAAATATAGGCCAACTTTTGAAATTGTACACGGAATTTTGATACGTGTAATGGTTTCCCGAGTTCGTTTTATTGTAATTTTTTTATTTTTTGTAATTATATAATTATATAATTTTGTAATTATATAATTAATTATGAAGGAATTAATGTGTATAGTTATGACATTCTTTAGTATAAATTATTCAAATAATAATTAAGTGAAGCAATTGATTTTTAATTTGCTTAGTACAAAATTATTTAAATGAGATTTACGGGCACCCCTATTCGAGTAATTAAAGAAGAGCAATAAGTGCTGGAAGTGGTCTGATCGTTTGCCTATCTTTCAATCACTACAGCCACGCAGCAGTGTGTGTTAGTTACACCTGAACAATCACTGCTGTAGTAGATATTATTTGTTATTAATTACAAAACCGGTAGTCTATCAAGGTGCAAGAAAATTTTAAGAAAATGATTAGATTTGTCATTGATTAATTTTGTGATTTGTTACTCTTGTGATTAGTTTTGTGATTGATTAGGGTTTTTGTTGCTTAGAGTGGCGGTGCATTAGATTTTCTTATCCAAAACCTTGAAGGTACGGGTCAGGATAACTATAGGCCTATACTTCATCAAAACGACCCGCTTTAAATGTTCAGACGTTGTTTTAGGTACTGTGGAGCTTATTAATTTAAAAAAAATTAATACCAAAAGGTAAAAAAAATCAAAGAAAAATATTCCGTAGTGGCTCCTGCCACTGTTGGTAAAAAAATGTATTTTTTTTTCTCTCTAGCGAGCATTAGAACCTGGTATTTAAAAAACATGTCTGTTTCACATTTCCTGTCACACAAGGCGAACTTTTCCCCATGACCTTTCTCACATGACCTTGTCCTTGACCTAGCTCCCACCTGAGCCGCCACCTGAAGGTCACCCTTGCCCTACTGGCCCTGGCATGCTGTGGCTTCTACCTGATGGTACACAGCGGGTCCCAGCCCAAGTTCGTCATCAAGGTCGAGACTGACCCGTCCATCTACGAGCTGACCCGGCTAGTGCAGGAGCAACGAGAAAAGATTGAGTACATGGCCGCACATCCCAAGGTCATCTTCAGGTGTCTGGACGATGAGCCCAAGATTAAATACCCCAGGTAGGTTTACCTGCTACATACACAAGGTAAATAGATACATTGGCTTGTTTATACCCCAGGTAAGTTGCTCATATCACAGGTAAGTTATTCATAGTCCAGGTAAGTTTACCTGCTACATACACAAGGTGAATAGACACATTGGTATGTTTATAGCAAAGGTAGGTTGCTTGTGACCCAGGCAAGTTGATTTCTTCTGTGATAGGCGGGTCCAGGTAAAAAACAATCTCACTCAGAACTCTGGCATTGGTACACATCGCGTCACGCTTGACTGCACACTCGGGTCATCTGCCACAACCTGGTCCTATCAGAGCCCTCTGGTAAACAACCCTTTAGCAGCTGGTTTAATACATTGGTTTTCAACTTTACGGCTGGTCCAATGATACACGTACTCACTCACTCACTCAATCACTCATCGCCCAAAGAATGATTGCTAAAGATCTGAATGATTGCTAAAGATCTGAATGATTGCTAAAGATCTGAATGATTGCCAAAGATCTGAATGATTGCTAAAGATCTGAATGATTGCTAAAGATCTGAATGATTGCCAAAGATCAGAATAATTGCTAAAGATCTGAATGATTGCTAAAGATCTGAATGATTGCCAAAGATCTGAATGATTGCTAAAGATCTGAATGATTGCTAAAGATCTGAATGATTGCTAAAGATCTGAATGATTGCCAAAGATCTGAATGATTGCTAAAGATCTGAATGATTGCTAAAGATCTGAATGATTGCCAAAGATCTGAATAATTGCTAAAGATCTGAATGATTGCTAAAGATCTGAATGATTGCCAAAGATCTGAATGATTGCTAAAGATCTGAATGATTGCTAAAGATCTGAATGATTGCCAAAGATCTGAATAATTGCTAAAGATCTGAATGATTGCTAAAGATCTGAATGATTGCCAAAGATCTGAATGATTGCTAAAGATCTGAATGATTGCTAAAGATCTGAATGATTGCTAAATATCTGAATGATTGCCAAAGATCTGAATGATTGCCAAAGATCTGAATGATTGTTCCAGACACGCCAGCGACGACCTGACCAAGATTGTGCTGGACACGTCAGACGAGTGCGGCAACATGACAGAGCTGGACGCCGTGGTCATCGTCCACACGTCTGCTGACCACTTCACCAGACGGGAACGGTTCCGTAGGGCGTATGCTAATTATAGCAACACCAGCCCATACAGACTTAAGGTGAGAGGACTTGATGCTAATTATAGTAACAAAGGTCACGCTAATTATAGTAACAAAGGTCACGCTAATTATAGTAATAAACGTCACGCTAATTATAGTAACAAAGGTCACGCTAATTATAGTAACAAAGGTCACGCTAATTATAGTAACAAAGGTCACGCTAATTATAGTAACAAAGGTCACTCTAATTATAGTAACAAAGGTCACGCTAATTAAAGTAACAAAGGTCACGCTAATTATAGTAATAAAGGTCACGCTAATTATAGTAACACACGTCAAACAAAATCATCCACCATCAAAACCCATTTCCCATATTTGTAACGAAGTTCGACTAATTACCCGAGAAAAAAAATCAGTTAATTATTGAATCTATTCATCCCCGTGAATCAATTATTGAGTAGCAGGTTAATGAGATCCAGCACTAGCAGTTTAAAATTTAAAAACTTGTGGAGTTGTCGAGGTCTGTTGGCGTTAAAGTACATCATTATAAACTACACATTGCTGCATGTGATGGTGTTAAAGTACATCATTATAAACTACACATTGCTGCATGTGATGGCGTTAAAGTACATCATTATAAACTACACATTGCTGCATGTGATGGTGTTAAAGTACATCATTATAAACTACACATTGCTGCATGTTTTGAGTTGGTGTGTGTGTGTTCTAAACACATATATATATACACACGCATAATCCACATGGTAAACACAACATACATATGACACCAAGTCACATACTAGATTAACATATGGGCCATAGACAAATACAGACCATGAGAAACATTACATACACTGATTTCATGTTTTAGGCAATCTACATACATGGGTCAGACACGGGTCACACAGATACAATCTACACACATGGGTCAGACACGGGTCACACAGATACAATCTACACACATGGGTCAGACACGGGTCACACAGATACAATCTACACACATGGGTCAGACACGGGTCACACAGATACAATCTACATACATGGGTCAGACACGGGTCACACAGATACAATCTGCATACATGCGTCAGACACGGGTCACACAGATACAATCTACATACATGGGTCAGACACGGGTCACACAGATACAATCTACATACATGGGTCAGACACGGGTCACACAGATACAATCTACATACATGGGTCAGACACGGGTCACACAGATACAATCTACATACATGGGTCAGACACGGGTCACACAGATACAATCTACATACATGGGTCAGATACGGGTGACACAGGTGGGTCAGTTTGGACCAAGTGGGTCAGTTAGGGCGATCACCATTTCGTGATGGCTGTGTTGTCTCTTTGAGCTTCCCACAACGGTAGAACTGTATGGCTCAGTGAAGGGATGTTTGATTGAGGGAACTGAATAGAACTACCGGGAACACCTCGGCCAAACCTCAGTCTATGGGTCATGGTGCCACTAGTACTGACCGCATGTTTTTGTATATTGCTACAGATGCCAAACTTTGTGTGAGGGATATTTAAGACTCCCTCCCCTCCCCCGCACTCCTCCGTCACTAATGACCCTAGTCTTAGTTCATTCTGATTTCCCGTAGGAAATACGAAATGTTTTGGTCACTGACTGAAATATTCCTTTTACCCTTGCCATTCCTGTCAACACGATTACAGTCAGCACGTTCTAGGTCAAGTGGCGAGCTCTTTCACACGGAACTGGGAATTTAAAAAAACTGTGATTTAACAAAAGTTTTGTGTGGCTACAGTTCCTATGGTTACCAGTCATCCATGAATAGGGCCAGCTACGTCTTAAAGAAAGTTGTGCGGGGGGTGTTGTAGCCGCTGAACCGTGTTGTCGACCCTGTTGATTGCGGGTGGTGTACCCTGAATAGAATGTATCCACACGTCACGTCAATAGGACATTTGTACTGGTGGATTTTAGTGGGGCACACGAACAGTACATGGGTGTAGGATATCAGACTTGATCAACATAAATGTCGGCATGCTGTTATGTGAAACTTCGGGTCAATTTTTACATCGACCGAATACGTTTTTCAACCGACCAAATAAGTTAGTTTTTCTATGGCCCGATCAAGTTAGTTTTTCAACCGACCAAATAAGTTAGTTTTTCAATCGACCTATTAAATTAGTTTTTCAACCGACCAAATAAGTTAGTTTTTCGACCGACTGAATAAATTAGTTTTTGATGTATCGAATAGAAGAAATGCTGGCCAATGCACATATAAGCATTTAAACTTATGGTAAACAACTTTACAGGTTTACAATTAATTATACGTACAGGTGATTCAGCCTTGTAATTCATTCAGTAACATCGCGAATGCGGTATTTTATAAGGGATTAGTGTATATAGCAGAGGCATAGCGGGGGGGGGGGGGGGAGGGGTACATATGTCCCCGGGCGCCGACCTAAGGGGCGCAAAAAAGGGTTTAAAAAATTATTATAAAAGCTAATTTTAGCTGCAAAAAAATACATGGGTGGGGGGGGGGGGGGCGAATTAAAAGTTTGTCCCCGGGCGCCGGTAGGGGCGCTACGCCTCTGGTATATTGTCAAACAATTTTCATATCGCCGCAGAGAAATACATATGTACATATAGTAAGACATTAACTCTAACAGGAAAATATAAGTTGGAGCTGATGCAGTATGAACAGTTGAAGCTGGCAGCATTTCCTATTAGCCTTTAACCACTTTCTACCTAACCTCATTTAGCCACTTTCCTGCCCAGACTTCTCATTAATTAGCCTCTACACACCACCATTAGCCACTAATCATTTCCTGCCAACTTAAGGCAGCCATCTTAATTTCTACAACCTATGGCCAACACAGGTCAAGCTGACCCCTTATGCCCCCCCCCCCTCTGATTGGTTGCAGGTCGTGTTTCTGATTGGTCAAGTGCTGAACGCTGAGGTTCAGATCAAGGTCGAGATGGAGAACAGGGACTACGGGGACACGGTGGTGGGGAACTTTCTAGACTCATACCAGAACCTGACACTCAAGGTAGGTCAAGGTCACTAGGTGGGGGAACAGGGACTACGGGGACACGGTGGTGGGGAACTTTCTAGACTCCTACCAGAACCTGACACTCAAGGTAGGTCAAGGTCACTAGGTGGGGGAACAGGGACTACGGGGACACGGTGGTGGGGAACTTTCTAGACTCCTACCAGAACCTGACACTCAAGGTAGGTCAAGGTCACTAGGTGGGGGAACAGGGACTACGGGGACACGGTGGTGGGGAACTTTCTAGACTCATACCAGAACCTGACACTAAAGGTAGGTCAAGGTCACTAGGTGGGGGAACAGGGACTACGGGGACACGGTGGTGGGGAACTTTCTAGACTCCTACCAGAACCTGACACTAAAGGTAGGTCAAGGTCACCATGTGGGGGAACAGGGACTACGGGGACACGGTGGTGGGGAACTTTCTAGACTCCTACCAGAACCTGACACTCAAGGTAGGTCAAGGTCACTAGGTGGGGGAACAGGGACTACGGGGACACGGTGGTGGGGAACTTTCTAGACTCCTACCAGAACCTGACACTCAAGGTAGGTCAAGGTCACTAGGTGGGGGAACAGGGACTACGGGGACACGGTGGTGGGGAACTTTCTAGACTCCTACCAGAACCTGACACTCAAGGTAGGTCAAGGTCACTAGGTGGGGGAACAGGGACTACGGGGACACGGTGGTGGGGAACTTTCTAGACTCATACCAGAACCTGACACTCAAGGTAGGTCAAGGTCACTAGGTGGGGGAACAGGGACTACGGGGACACGGTGGTGGGGAACTTTCTAGACTCCTACCAGAACCTGACACTAAAGGTAGGTCAAGGTCACTAGGTGGGGGAACAGGGACTACGGGGACACGGTGGTGGGGAACTTTCTAGACTCCTACCAGAACCTGACACTAAAGGTAGGTCAAGGTCACTAGGTGGGGGAACAGGGACTACGGGGACACGGTGGTGGGGAACTTTCTAGACTCCTACCAGAACCTGACACTCAAGGTAGGTCAAGGTCACCATGTGAGGGGAACAGGGACTACGGGGACACGGTGGTGGGGAACTTTCTAGACTCCTACCAGAACCTGACACTCAAGGTAGGTCAAGGTCACCATGTGAGGGGAACAGGGACTACGGGGACACGGTGGTGGGGAACTTTCTAGACTCCTACCAGAACCTGACACTCAAGGTAGGTCAAGGTCACCATGTGAGGGGAACAGGGACTACGGGGACACGGTGGTGGGGAACTTTCTAGACTCCTACCAGAACCTGACACTCAAGGTAGGTCAAGGTCACCATGTGAGGGGAACAGGGACTACGGGGACACGGTGGTGGGGAACTTTCTAGACTCCTACCAGAACCTGACACTCAAGGTAGGTCAAGGTCACCATGTGAGGGGAACAGGGACTACGGGGACACGGTGGTGGGGAACTTTCTAGACTCCTACCAGAACCTGACACTCAAGGTAGGTCAAGGTCACTAGGTGGGGGAACAGGGACTATGGGGACACGGTGGTGGGGAACTTTCTAGACTCCTACCAGAACCTGACACTCAAGGTAGGTCAAGGTCACTAGGTGGGGGAACAGGGACTACGGGGACACGGTGGTGGGGAACTTTCTAGACTCCTACCAGAACCTGACACTCAAGGTAGGTCAAGGTCACTAGGTGGGGGAACAGGGACTACGGGGACACGGTGGTGGGGAACTTTCTAGACTCCTACCAGAACCTGACACTAAAGGTAGGTCAAGGTCGCTAGGTGGGGGAACAGGGACTACGGGGACACGGTGGTGGGGAACTTTCTAGACTCCTACCAGAACCTGACACTCAAGGTAGGTCAAGGTCACCATGTGAGGGGAACAGGGACTACGGGGACACGGTGGTGGGGAACTTTCTAGACTCCTACCAGAACCTGACACTAAAGGTAGGTCAAGGTCACCATGTGGGGGAACAGGGACTACGGGGACACGGTGGTGGGGAACTTTCTAGACTCCTACCAGAACCTGACACTAAAGGTAGGTCAAGGTCGCTAGGTGGGGGAACAGGGACTACGGGGACACGGTGGTGGGGAACTTTCTAGACTCCTACCAGAACCTGACACTCAAGGTAGGTCAAGGTCACCATGTGAGGGGAACAGGGACTACGGGGACACGGTGGTGGGGAACTTTCTAGACTCCTACCAGAACCTGACACTCAAGGTAGGTCAAGGTCACCATGTGAGGGGAACAGGGACTACGGGGACACGGTGGTGGGGAACTTTCTAGACTCCTACCAGAACCTGACACTCAAGGTAGGTCAAGGTCACCATGTGAGGGGAACAGGGACTACGGGGACACGGTGGTGGGGAACTTTCTAGACTCCTACCAGAACCTGACACTCAAGGTAGGTCAAGGTCACCATGTGAGGGGAACAGGGACTACGGGGACACGGTGGTGGGGAACTTTCTAGACTCCTACCAGAACCTGACACTCAAGGTAGGTCAAGGTCGCTAGGTGGGAGAACAGGGACTACGGGGACACGGTGGTGGGGAACTTTCTAGACTCCTACCAGAACCTGACACTCAAGGTAGGTCAAGGTTGCTAGGTGGGAGAACAGGGACTATGGGGACACGGTGGTGGGGAACTTTCTAGACTCCTACCAGAACCTGACACTCAAGGTAGGTCAAGGTCGCTAGGTGGGGGAACAGGGACTACGGGGACACGGTGGTGGGGAACTTTCTAGACTCCTACCAGAACCTGACACTCAAGGTAGGTCAAGGTCGCTAGGTGGGGGAACAGGGACTACGGGGACACGGTGGTGGGGAACTTTCTAGACTCCTACCAGAACCTGACACTCAAGGTAGGTCAAGGTCACTAGGTGGGTGGGGGGGGTGGACTATGGGGACATGGTGGTGGGGAACTTTCTAGACTCCTACCAGAACCTGACACTCAAGGTAGGTCAAGGTTATTAAACTGATGGATGAAAACACTGGTCAAAAGATCGATGATGATATGTCTTCTGATGTTTTTTGATGGTATGTCCTTTGGTTGTTATTCTTTCGACTTCAAGACATTAAATACTCAGATATTTTTATGACTCGTAAAAAAGCTCGTACACCATAAACATACGCCATTAAAACATGTATTTATGTGCGACCCTTGTCCAAAACATGTATTTATGTGTGACCCTTGTCTCCCGATCATTAAATATTTAGTTATCGCCCTTCACACCGACAAGACATTAAGTTGTCGCCCGTGTCTGCCGCTAATAAAAACATCAAGTTCTCACCCTTGTTTTAACCTGATGAAACAGTATTTTGTCGCCTTGTCTCCGTTTGATAAAACATTAAAATTGTCGCCCTTGCCTCCCCCTGTATAACATTTCTTGTAATAAAGCATTAAATTGTCTCCCTTGCAATATTTCTTCTTCGTCATTTTGTAAAATACCTAAATCCCTGTAACAAGACTTTTAGGACACAGCACACACAAGACACGCTACACATGAGTTTTTTCCTCTTGGAGTGACGTTGCACCCTTGCCCTTGTTTTCTAGTAAAATAAGCATCAAGTTGTCTTCCTTGTATCCCCCTGATAAAATAAAAATGTCGCCTTGTATCCCCCTGATAAAATAAAAATGTCGCCCTTGTATCCCCCTGATAAAATAAAAATGTCGCCTTGTATCCCCCTGATAAAATAAAAATGTCGCCCTTGTATCCCCCTGATAAAATAAAAATGTCGCCCTTGTATCCCCCTGATAAAATAAAAATGTCGCCCTTGTATCCCCTGATAAAATAAAAATGTCGCCCTTGTATCCCCCTGATAAAATAAAAATGTCGCCCTTGTATCCCCCTGATAAAATAAAAATGTCGCCCTTGTATCCCCTGATAAAATAAAAATGTCGCCCTTGTATCCCCCTGATAAAATAAAAATGTCGCCCTTGTATCCCCCTGATAAAATAAAAATGTCGCCCCTGTATCCCCCTGACAAAATAAAAATGTCGCCCTTGTATCCCCTGACAAAATAAAAATGTCGCTCTTGTCTCCCCCTGACAAAATAAAAATGTCGCCCTTGTATCCCCCTGACAAAATAAAAATGTCGCCCTTGTATCCCCTGACAAAATAAAAATGTCGCTCTTGTCTCCCCCTGACAAAATAAAAATGTCACTCTTGTATCCCCTGACAAAATAAAAATGTCGCCCTTGTATCCCCCTGATAAAATAAAAATGTCGCTCTTGTCTCCCCCTGACAAAATAAAAATGTCGCCTTTGCTTCACTCCCCAGGCTGTCATGGGCTTCCGCTGGCTGGCCAACATGTGCAATGACGTCAAACTGCTGATCAAAATGGACGACGACGTTTTCTTTGACGTCCGTAAGTTCTTCACGCGGTACTGGAACAAGCTGGGCCCGAGCCAGAAGACCAAGTCCATTCACTGCCAGGTGTGGGAGAACGCGGTGGTGGGCCGGACCGGCAAGTGGAAGGTGGAGCGGGGTCTGTGGGCCAACTCAAGCTACCCCTTCCCCTACTGCGCCGGCTTTTTCGTCGTCGTCACGCCCGACTTGATCCGGCCCATGTACGAGGTGGGGAAGAGCATCGACTTCTTCTGGATCGATGACGTCTTTCTCTACGGCATGGTGCCGTCCACCATCAAAGGCATCCACTTTAACCAAATCGGGAGAAAAAAGCGTCTGATATCTCAAACGTATAAAGAGTTTCCGGCATGCAATAACCGGAAGGGGCGTGACTACTGCACTCTATGGGCGGTGTTGACTAATGGCGCCGATGAATTTGCCCTAGAATACGCCAAATTACATGAGCCGCCCGCGTTAAAAGCCGATGTAACAGTTAAACCTCAGCCAGTTGAAAGTCTCATAGTCTCAGGAAGTCTCAACGATACTGGAAGCCTCAAAGACACAGGGAGAATCATTAGATAAAATAGATTAAATTAGTTATTACCTCTTTAGTAGCCATTTACATAAGATTTCAGAACCAGTGTTTTAAATAACGATTTGTGTGTTCCTGGAGATAAATGTGGATTTTCGGTATTTGGAGTATCCGCCTTGTTGTGAACTCTGCCGGTAGAAATAATCTATGAGGTATTTCGGTACTGGAGCTGTTGATTTGGGTGCGGTACATGTTAGGGGTGTACCGTTTTATGTGGTGTAGAGAATTGGCAGTTCATTTTGGTATTTAGACAAACCGTGTGGGTCTGTATGTGGCCAGTAAGATACTTCAATATATTTCGGTGTTTAGAGCTGCTATTAGATCTCAGTTATCGCAAGTCTGGAAAAGTATTTATTTTCTGTACTGTGGGTCTGTTATATCTTTTGTTGTAGGCGGATCTTTAAAATATGGCGGCCAATAAAAAGTAAATAAATGTTACAGTTACTGGTAACTTTGGCAAGTACTAGGGGCTCTGTGTATTTGGACGCATTTTTGGTATGGAAGCCTAGCACCCCCCCCACTATATATAGGCTATATATATATATATATATATATATATATATATATATATATATATATATATATATATATATATATATATATATATATATATATATATATATATATATATATATATATATATAGCCTATATATATATATATAGTCTCCAAAACTCAAAGGCTAGATCTGCCTATGTGACATTTGCGTGTGCTAGTAATGTGAAAATGACGTGATATTATCGACGTGACAATGGGGTGTTCTAGTTGTGTGAAAATGACGTGATATTTTTGACATGACACTTATTGTGTGTGCTAGTAGTGTGAAAATGACGTGATATTTATGACGTGACAATGGCTTGTTCTATTAATGTGAAAATGACGTGATATTTTTGACATGACAATGGCTTGTTCTATTAATGTGAAAATGACGTGATATTTTTAACATGACAATGGCTTGTTCTATTAATGTGAAAATGACGTGATATTTTTGACATGACAATGGCTTGTTCTATTAATGTGAAAATGACGTGATATTTTTGACGTGACAATGGCTTGTTCTATTAATGTGAAAATGACGTGATATTTTTGACATGACAATGGCTTGTTCTATTAATGTGAAAATGACGTGATATTTATGACATGACAATCATGATGACAATGTGATGCTCGTGGCTTGACTTTGTGGCTATCGATTGATTTATTGATGTTCGATTAGCACATAGAGATAGCGAGGCTTTGATCTCTACACCTGGACTAACAGGTCAATAATTAAACATGAATGATTGGTCGTTTTTATTGTCCACATTTCACAAAGTGCATCACAATCATATGTGCACCACAATCATATGTGCGCCACAATCATATGTGGACACAATCATCCACTGTTCATATCTGGTTTGTGTTAAAGGTTTAACTTATGATATGCTAACACATGTGGGTAATGCACATATTGTAATAAATCTATTTATAGAACTAGAGTGTTTTCTCGTCTTGAGTTTCTAGTGTCGAGTGTAATTTATATACAAATAATTTATATAGAAAATATAATCTTTTATCAGCGTCAGCCCCCCCCCCCCTGAGAATTTAATCCGAATTTAACGAAGTCCCTCCCCCCCCCCCCCCCACGAATATAACGCCCTTCCCCCGAATATAAAGCCCCCCTCCCCTCCTCTCTCGAAACGAAATAGAATTTATACAGACAATATATACTTTTACCAGTGTGATCGACAAATGCGACCACGAGGTGGGGGGGGGGGGGGGGGGACTAAATTTTCCGGAGGGAGTAGGTCGTACACTGGTAAAAGTATTTTCTATATAAATTCTATTTCGTTCAAGGGGGCGGTATACGTCATTGTTAATAGAGGAAAAAAAAAAACGCCTTATTTTAGAAATGAATGTAGATATACAAAACAAACACCAGAAAAGTAATATATATATATATATATATATATATATATATATATATATATATATATATATATATATATATATATATATATATATATATATATAGTAAACGTTAGTATCAGTATTAAGGTTGGGGTTATTTGGTGTTTTATATCAAGCTGAATTTCCGGATTTAGTGTTTAATTAATTGTATGACTTATCGTGGAGAAAGTTGAGTGATCCACCCTTTCGAATGGCAGATGAAGTAGAATATATGTTATTATTGTTCTCTTAGAAGTGTAAAATAGAACTCCATAAGAAATACTTTTATTAGAACATACATCACGTTTTAACTAACAAGACAAACATTTCGATATTGAGGGCCTTTAATCAGAGTTGAACACATCAATTCTTGATTCCCGTTTTATCACATAAAACTGTCTGTTGTATAATGTCACACAGCACACACTTGAAGGGTGTATTGAACAGACGCAATGAGAAGTCGCCAAGTCGTCACGCTCCAGTTATGTTACATACAGAGAGAAGAAAGTACAGACTACAGACCAACATACAGAGAGAAGAAAGTACAGGCTACAGACAGAGGCGTATCCAGGTTTTCGTTGTAGGGGGAGCGAAAAGAGCAAAAAAAGGCGCCTAATTTTTAACACGTTCTATATACGTGTATTATATGTATATATATATATATATATATATATATATATATATATATATATATATATATATATATATATATATTATTAGCTGTATGTTATTACTTCGCTATGATGTAAAATAAACTGAAAGTACCACTCTTAAGAAATAAGAAAAAACACACAATGTAGGCAGACAAAACAAAAATTGTATCAATCTAAACAAAACAAAAATATACACACACTACAACCAAAAACAATGAACGTAACACAATCTATTTTGTAATTCTTGTAAAAAATTTTGTTACAAAATAATTCCTGGGAAATTATTCAAGACAAGTGAAATAGGGGAAATAATCACTCTCTTAGTATAAATATGTATATATCTATACATTTAATTATAAATTTCAAAACAAATAAATAGTTACTTTAGAATATAATCAAATTGTTTACAATTTTTTTTTGTCTATAATCAAAAATTAATATATCGTCATCATAAATGCTAAAGTATTACAGCATAATGAAAGTTTTTTTAAATCAGAGATTGTATAAAACCACGCTTTTCGTTATTATAGAAAAACATTCGGAATAACAGTCTACATTTAACTAAATTTCGGTCTTTTAGTTCAGATCATATATTTTTAATTAACTACTGCTTCTTTGTGTGTTTTAAAGATCATTTTTTAACATAGTGATAGGTATGGGTTAGATCACTGTATTGATCACACACATTTTTACTGGTAATTGCAAAAACAATATTCACAGAATTTTACGTTTAAAAAGCTAATTTTCTGGCGGCATGGTACTTTGGTACATCATTACGCGTTTTTCTAATTGTACTTAACAGTACAGTTCGGGGTGGGTAGGGGGGGGGTGGGTTCAACTTCATTCACCACTGTCCGGTCACTTTAGGTCAATTATCCAACCCAGTGTATACCTAGGTGTGACATTAATGTTGCTCTACACAATTGTGGTGGTGAAGTGTGTGTGTGGGGGGGGGGGGGAGATAACCAACTCAGAGTGAATATAGCGTCAGTTTTTAGATGACTTTCCTAAACATACATATATACAGTGGCTTAGCGAGGTCGGGTGTTGTAAACGTAGACACTACTAGACTAGTACAATAATGCTTAATTGCTGCATGAAAAGAAAACTTGTGATTTACATAGATGTGCCGACCAAAAATATTTTTTTAACAAATATCGTTGTTCAAATCTTTGAGTTTAAAAAGTTTCCAAAAAGGCGCCACTTTGCTGAAAATGGCCAGAGGGGGAGCGGCTGCTCCCCCTGCTCCCCCCCTGCGTACGCTACTGGCTACAGACAACATACAGAGAGAAGAAAGTACAGGCTACAGACCAACATACAGAGAGAAGAAAGTACAGACTACAGACCAACATACAGAGAGAAGAAAGTACAGGCTACAGACCAACATACAGAGAGAAGAAAGTACAGGCTACAGACCAACATACAGAGAGAAGAAAGTACAGGCTACAGACCAACATACAGAGAGAAGAAAGTACAGGCCAACATACAGAGAGAAGAAAGTACAGACCAACATACAGAGAGAAGAAAGTACAGGCTACAGACCAACATACAGAGAGAAGAAAGTACAGACCAACATACAGAGAGAAGAAAGTACAGGCTACAGACCAACATACAGAGAGAAGAAAGTACAGGCTACAGACCAACATACAGAGAGAAGAAAGTACAGGCTACAGACCAACATACAGAGAGAAGAAAGTACAGGCTACAGACCAACATACAGAGAGAAGAAAGTACAGACCAACATACAGAGAGAAGAAAGTACAGGCTACAGACCAACATACAGAGAGAAGAAAGTACAGGCTACAGACCAACATACAGAGAGAAGAAAGTACAGGCTACAGACCAACATACAGAGAGAAGAAAGTACAGACCAACATACAGAGAGAAGAAAGTACAGACCAACATACAGAGAGAAGAAAGTACAGGCTACAGACCAACATACAGAGAGAAGAAAGTACAGACCAACATACAGAGAGAAGAAAGTACAGACCAACATACAGAGAGAAGAAAGTACAGGCTACAGACCAACATACAGAGAGAAGAAAGTACAGGCTACAGACCAACATACAGAGAGAAGAAAGTACAGACCAACATACAGAGAGAAGAAAGTACAGGCTACAGACAACATACAGAGAGAAGAAAGTACAGGCTACAGACAACATACAGAGAGAAGAAAGTACAGACCAACATACAGAGAGAAGAAAGTACAGGCTACAGACCAACATACAGAGAGAAGAAAGTACAGGCTACAGACCAACATACAGAGAGAAGAAAGTACAGGCTACAGACCAACATACAGAGAGAAGAAAGTACAGGCTACAGACCAACATACAGAGAGAAGAAAGTACAGACCAACATACAGAGAGAAGAAAGTACAGGCTACAGACCAACATACAGAGAGAAGAAAGTACAGGCTACAGACCAACATACAGAGAGAAGAAAGTACAGACCAACATACAGAGAGAAGAAAGTACAGGCTACAGACCAACATACAGAGAGAAGAAAGTACAGGCTACAGACCAACATACAGAGAGAAGAAAGTACAGGCTACAGACCAACATACAGAGAGAAGAAAGTACAGGCTACAGACCAACATACAGAGAGAAGAAAGTACAGACCAACATACAGAGAGAAGAAAGTACAGACTACAGACCAACATACAGAGAGAAGAAAGTACAGGCTACAGACCAACATACAGAGAGAAGAAAGTACAGGCTACAGACCAACATACAGAGAGAAGAAAGTACAGGCTACAGACCAACATACAGATAGAAGAAAGTACAGACCAACATACAGAGAGAAGAAAGTACAGGCTACAGACCAACATACAGAGAGAAGAAAGTACAGACCAACATACAGAGAGAAGAAAGTACAGGCTACAGACCAACATACAGAGAGAAGAAAGTACAGGCTACAGACCAACATACAGAGAGAAGAAAGTACA